GAATAATAGCATTATAATTTAAGGTATATAATGTACAATAGGCATTTTTTATTTCATGTCTATCAGTGGTGTAAACGTCACTCTTAATCATGCAGGTGTTCGTGACGTCAGCAGATTTGTTTTATTGGGACATCATAACCCTAACCTTTGTTAAACGTAAACATGCTAGTATATCGAACCAATTTTAGATACGTAACCTATTTCAAGATATTATACTCTATCTGTTGTCAAAAAAGACAAAACGTCAAATTTTCGGATTTTATTGATTATAAATGTCAGAATGGACAAGCAGTAAATTTAATACATTAATACATAATTGTATACATGCGTCCAACATAAGTTTACTTCATTTAATTTTAAAATTAAGCCGATCAAATGTAGCATGCATCGCGTAGCTTATTCAAGAATGCAATAATAAGGTAACAAGTTCTGATGATGAACACTGAAAATAAAGAATTAGAAACAAATTGAAAAAGAACCAATTATAGCTTTCTTTCACTCTCAAATGTAAATCAGCGAATTCTCTGAAATGAGCATAAAACTCGTTAATTCCTTCGTATGGGACAGTTTCTTCATTGCTCAGTCCACCAATCAAAAATTTATAAGAAAATGTATTTGTTACCTAGGACAAAAGTAAAATGTTCCAGAAACATTTTCCTATACTAAGTGACGCCATTGTGCTCTAACTTTTCTGACTTTCCTAAGAAAAAATAACTATGATTAACCATCGTAAACACTTTGAGACTTTACTCTAAAACTTATTTAAGGCTAAGACCCATAAAATCCCTTCCTTTACGTACCAATGATGTAAATCTTGGAAGTAATGTATGAATATACAAGAACTCTACTTCTTATTTATTTAAATGTGACAGCTATGGCGTCCTGTCACGTGACTAAAGATTGCGTTCATTGATTAGTATATGTCAAGAGAACTTAATTTTCATGCTTTCAATTCCGTAAAAATCAGGATAAAAGTGTGGAAGGACATTACGAATAATTAAAATCGGGCTTGATTTTTGACCTGTTTGTCGTAAAACAAACAAAAGTATAGCGCACCAGACCAGTGAAATATATTGTAGTGAGTAATAAAAGGTCATTGTACAGAGCACTCCTACATGTATATATATTTAATAACAAGAAAACATTGATGTAACCATCAATTGTCGCCCGGGAAATAAATAAAGTAAACAATGGAAATGAGTCTTGATCATCAAACCGCTTCGATATGTGTGAAAAAGGCATGCGTCTAAATGATGGAGACGATAGTCGAGAATATTTTGAAAACTCATAGTCGGATGAAAATCGAACAAAAACGATACCCTTTTAAACTTTATCAATTCCTCAAGTAAATGTTGGCTGCATAAAATATAATTTGAAACCAGACACATGCATCACCTATTTTCAAAAATGTCTTTCACTTAAAGAATATAAAACACGAACTGTGTAAAGTACTTTTTTACGTTTTTATGCGATAAGTAAAATTCAATGTTCTAAAAAAAGGACCTGTCGTTTTTTCGATAGTAAATGATAAGCAACTTTATATATTAAATATGAAAAACATATATATTTTTACAGATTCACTTTATGGAAGTAAATATATTGTGTATCTCGTAATTTATAAAGGGAAAGAACATTCTGATTAACAATCTTTTTAATGTTTAGAAAACCTTTAATTCTGAATAACTTCTCCCACCTCAATCCCCATATACCAACACTTAAACTTATATGTATAGAGCAGCCCGGTCCTCCGGGCTGCAATGAGCACTGACTTACAAAAAGGGAGCTTTGCCTAAACTCAGAATGCTTAAGGTATCTCATTACACACACAATGTATCAAATAATAAATTTACATTTTATTTTAAAACAACTGAGCATTTCGATAAATACGTGAATCCTGACGTACTTGTAGGGAGAAAAACATAGAGTAGCTTCCAGATACTGTCTAAACGTTTATTTCCGTGAGATTACCATTTTTGTAAAGATTTTGATGTTGTTCTTTTTTAAATGAAGTTATATCTGCTTTATATAGAAATGGAAGAAAATTCAGTGTTCAAAACTCCACAATTTAGCTATATATTTCAACTCATAAACTCAATATTATCAAATCATTACCACAGGAAAACAGAACACAGATTTAAATCAATAAATTTATTAATATTGTTTTCAATATTTCAACAAATATCAGCAAATAATGCGAACGCAATGAGAAGGGTCTCACTATGATAAGCCATGATTCCGTGATTTCAATGTCTCTAATTCCTCATAAACCGCTCTGAACCAGTGATGTCGTAGGGTAATTCCTGAAAAAATAAAATGTTGAAACATGAGGAAATAAATACAGTGATTTTTTAAGTCTATATTATATCTACGCATATCATGCTTCTAACATTTTTTTGTTCCTGTTTGTAATGTACAAATTTCAAAAAAAATTTCCAAAGTCTTATTTAATTTGGAATAGTCGCAGAGAATCAACTGAAAAAAAAAATACTTGAATTATAAAGATTTCATGAATACGTGTTTACGCTTTGTAGGCAAAATATCAGAGATACACTGAAAGTAGAAAGCCTAATGCTACCTGATCATTAAATTTTAGAATCGTCTCTGCGTTTTACAACAATGTCCTACCACCTGTACAGAACAAGCTTGTAGAATCGTATCAAACATTGAAATAGATTGAAAAGATCTCGGAACAGAAGAAATGTTTTTTTTTATTAAAATATTATTTTAAAAACCCCGATATGTCACAATGGAAGCCAATGATTAAAAAATCAAGCAAAATACCTAAACCAAACTAGACGTTTTAAGTACAGGCACTTGTTTTTACCCATTATACTACGCGTTAAAAAAAAATATTACCGAAACAAGTGCCTGTGGTTTTAAGTGATTTACATTTTAGGAAATATATTCATTGACTTTACCGTTGGTCATATATATGCAATAAACTTTCTTTGATATTATTATACATACTGGTTTAATAAAAATAAAAGATGTATATGTGAATTGTAAAGAAAAGCTAAAATAATACGCATTTAATATATAGACAACATAAAGAATTTCTTTTTGGTGAACTATATATTTCACGTCTGTAAGTAAATGTCCAATTCAAAGTGGATAACTATAAATATCTGTTTCCAAAGGGGGGGGGGGGGGATTTTCATTAGCTTAGAATTACTGACTACTTTTTTAAAATAGCTTTTCTTTTTAAATATTTAGACAATGCCTTTATACATGTGTAGGTCTTTTGTTTTTTATTTATAAACAAACAGAGTATTTTTAATGATCCACGTAGTCATTTAGATGCAAGAAATATAACTGCAAAATACATGTAAGATTTACTTATTTGATAGCGATCTATAATGGAGAATATTTTTCTTCTATGTTTTAAATGTAATAATTCTCTTCAGTGCTAAAGAAAAAAATCGGACGCTTCTAAATATCATTTTAAATATCGAAAAAAAAAATAAAAACAGTTCTAAAATTTAACTAAGAGTATAATAAATCTACATTGCTTAATTTGATTATTTTATCTTTATAGACGAAAAAACAGAAAATCAGTGACCCTCAAATCCGTTTCTGCACGTGTCTAAAATGGTAGTAAACATAACTCCCGGTTTATCTTTCAGATAAAGATAGAATATCAAAATAATTAAAACAATCAATATATCTGATATATTCTTACGATCGTGTTATAATCGCTGCTACTTTTGTAGTGGATATTTTTAGATAAAACCATATGTGGCACCCTGCTGGTTCTGGTTGGACAAGTATACCGGGCCGAAGAGTTCAAAGGGACTTCCTTACTATTCTCCTGATTATAATAAATTATCTACAAAATGCTTACCTTTCTTTGTGTGATATTTTGTAACATATTTATTATTTTGTTAATTAAAAATGACGTTTATTCTAAGATTCTAATTGAAAAAAAAAATTCAGGAAGAACTGTATTGTCCTCGCTTAAATTTAATTTTTTTTTCAATTTAAATGACTGTCATATACAAATTTAAATTATTGTCATATACAAATATAATTAGTACAAATTCTAAATTTGGGAAAGAACAGTATACGCTGTAAAATATGTAACGCTTTATTTGGTAAAAACTTATTTTTTCTAATTTTGAGTACGCCTCCATTTTTTACGCATTTTTGGGCTCCTTTTAATTATTCTATATACTTTATTTTAGCTATTATATTAAAGTTTCATGCTGTTTGATATTTTTATAAGCTATATAGTTTTATTAATCGCTGTTTTTTTTTCCTCTAATTTTAGGTTAAAATGCTGTTATGTATCTTTTATTCCTGGAATTCGAATTATTTTTAACTAAAAAATTATTTGAGAGACGTAAATAAGCATAATAAATAGAAATTCATTTGTTGTAAAAGGCCACAGTTGTAATACTTGGGTGTTAAATTGTTTTTTCCAGAGTTTGTAACATATGTCTTGTACCTTATCTTTATTTTTCTTGTTTTTAAGAATGGATTCGACAGCAAAAAATGACGAAAACAAAGAGAGGAGTAAAACTAAATTCCGTGAAAACAACAATATGTTGATTATGCAGTCAGTTTGGAATTTCATATTCAGTTAACTGTTATTAATACACTTTAGACATCATTAATTGGATTGTCATCATTTTATCTCATCGTGGAGCTTAATGAAACTTAGATTGACAGAACTACATATTTCCGTGACCCCGGGTGTCATCGCTTTCACTGATTGCCGTTATTTACTCCAATAACGGTAAATCCCCTAGTACTAATATTAGTTTTATTTTCCGGAATTTAAATAAAAATCATACCAATTATCAGTCAATTTATGCTTAAAAATAAATCTTACAATTTAGTTTATAAAAACAAAGTTCTCATTTGAAGGCAAAAAAATTCCGATTTTAACTTTTCACGCAAAAACTAAACTTTTAATAAATATTTTAATATTTTTTCTAGAAAGCTAACGTAAGTCTCTTTGGTGCCTTTCTACAAATCCCTTGAATCACATGTTTAGCTACTTATTCGGACACGTACCGTGATAGGGGTGAGTGGTAGACAGACTGGGCTGACTGGTCCCCGTACCCTTGCCACTGGGTGGAGGAGTTATTATACATCCCTGTATTACATCCGGTATTTTGTGCGGGATATGTTCCATTCGGAACTCCATTATGGTACCACTTCATAAAGGGATTGTTCATACTCTGCCTAAGTAGAGCTTCGTCTAGTCTGTATGCACGGCGCTCAGCCTCAGTGTATGGGGAATAGATGGAATTAAATGCGGTCGCGGAGGGCGAAAATGGGACACTGGGTGTGAGGGGGCTATATCCGTTTGTCAAATGATACATTCCTAATTCCACTTCCTTCTTTCTGCCTCTTCTCCTGGATCTTCTTCGTTGTCGGAAATCTCCTCGCATAAAGTCCTGTATATTAGCGGGGTGTATGGCCCAGTAATTCCCTTTACCATCCTCACATCTCCCCGCTTTAATAAAACAGTCATTTAAAGATAGGTTATGTCTGACGCTGTTTCTCCAGCCCTGGCCTCGATTCTGGTAATAAGGATAATTCTTTTCAATCCAGTTGTATATAGAACCAAGGCTAAGTCTTTTTTGTGAAGATTCTAATATAGATTTTGCAATAAGAGCTATATAGGACAAAGCAGGTTTGACGTCCGCATTTCCTCTGGCTTTCTCATCATGACCCTTTTCCGGATTTGTTTGGTCCACGGGTTCTATTTTGTCATCTTTAGAATCATTTTTATTGTTACTATCATTGGGGTTTATATGGTTTTCGTTAGCTGTGATTGCTGTTTGCATCCCTTGAATTTCCGGTTTATATTCCACTGAATTCTCTAGTTTCACGTTTTCTTCGTGACTTGAGTTGAGATCTGCCTCGTGCAACAGCCTTCCGCCTTCTGCATCATAGCGTGGGGTGATGTCAAGTGAGCCTGTCGCCTGATCCATAATATCGACTTTTGATAGAATCTGCTCGCCGCCACGAGCTAGTCCGTATTCCGGAATCTCCTGGCGTCCAGTAGACATCTTGTAGTACGACGGACTCGAATTCGGAACGAACCCTGGATGGAAAATCGTTGTAGATTCCGCATATGATGGCGGGTCTCTTGGAAGAAAATTCCCGGGCGAAGAAGCATTTGAGAAGAGACTGTTGAAGCATGGATCGGAAGTTTCTGTGTAATGTCCATGGTGTAATTTTATTGTCGATCCGTCAAAGTTTGGAGAGGACCCATAAAGTCCATTCTGGAAGCCTCCACTGTCATAATGTGTGTGTTGCATACTGTGGCTTTCGTATATAACAGGAATCAACAAATATGATCACTAAGTTATTAGAAATATTTACAGGAAAACAAATCTTCTTCAGTCGATTGTTTTGCTAAACATCCACTGTTCAAGGTAACACACAAATAAATCGACTTGGATTTCAAACTCCTACCTAAACACTACAAAACTCAACCAAACATTTGTACGTTCTGTTAATAAAACCCCCAGATCGCCTTGTTTTATATTTCTTATAGCAGGTCGCTACCTAATCGCCTCCATATTTGCGTGACTAAATTGAAAACGATATTCGCTACCAGAAAGCTTTCTGATTGGCTAAAAATGTCCATGGAGGGTTTCCTGAAATGTCACGAGAGAGATGGAAGGCGGGTATAGCGATATGGTTAAATTGTTTTTAAATTGATAATAGTTGTGAAGTATTTAGACTGGGACTTAATAGACAAACAAACTGTGATCCCTTCCTAATCATGATGCAGTCATCGATAAGAATTTGTCAACAATGCATTGATTGACTTATCTCAGCTCCCGGGTGCCAGAAGTACCCGATATTATCATAATTCAGTCCAGGAATTTTACTGAAGTTTTCAAATAATTACAGAAAATACAAAAATATCATTTGAATTCGTACATTGAAAGTGATTTTTTTTTTATGAAATTGATGTTGATAAATTTATACTAAATTTGGGGAAAAGAATGTGTAAAATAACTGAAAGAATGCTGAAGTTTGAAGAATTCAACGTGGAATATTCTGCCATTTTCCTTCAGCAAATTATTGATACCTCACAAAATGCTATCGAGATAAATATGCTTTAAAAACACATAAATTGCTAAAAATCACACTCACTTTTAATGAAGATCAAATAAGGAAAGAGAGAGAGAGATTTGGGACATTTACTATAGGTCTGCCGTCTAGACTTGTTCGGGTCTGTGGGAAGATTTTTCAGAACACGCATAGGGGGCATTCACGGACAACATCGTCAGCTTTGACAAAGACACGGGGAATACCAGGCTTTATTTATATATCTAGGATTCTTTCTCTCTTCTCCCGCTAAATAGCCCAAATGAAGGCACAATACAATCTTGTGTAAACATGATGATTAACGTAGAAAACACATCGGTGGTTTTGGGATACCTTGTTAACTTTTTACTAAAGGGTTCGTAACGATGTTCAAAGAAATGTTACCCCGCATCATTTAGAGGCTTTTCCTTCTACCGTGTACATTATGATGACATAAAGATGGAAGTTCTATTTCAAGGTTGGCCAATACTTACCTGCCATGGGAAAACAGGGTAACCAGTTCAGAGCAATGTTTGAGGTCGGGTGTGGCATTCACTTTTGATTAATCTGTGTAGTTTCTCTTCGTTTGTTCATTGGTGTATTCATCTGTGGTGGATCCAGGAATTTCAAAAAGTGCATCTCGTGAACTTCAAAAAGTGTAAACAAATGTGAAAAGAAGATAAGAATTATAAAGATTATAGATTAATTAACAATTAGGATTTAATTCCAGGATTTGTTTTGCTTCATATTTTGGTGACATGGTGCTTCGATAAATAAAAGGTTTCCAGCAGATAATTCCCATATGACTTCCTTCAATTGTTTTACTGAAAATTTACTTTATAGAAATTTATGTATTGTAAATCAAAACAGTCTTTTACACAGGAAGATTAGATGATTAAGTTGGATACGCCATTGTCCTATATTTCAGAGTGTTACGGGCACGTAGTATGGGGGGGGGGGGCTGACCCCCCAACTTTTTTCCAGACAGAACCTTAACTGTTGAAAATGTTCATTGAAAAGTTGGTTGCCCTCCCCCACCCAAACTTTTTGTTTCAGTATAGTCAAATGATGGAAATGTGGTATAATGAATGAACAAAATTTAGTTGTGAAAGAAATTGGAACCTAACCACTCCCCATCCCCACCCCCCACCCCCGATCGAATTAGGGTTTTCGAGTTAGGAGAATTTTCCTTTTTTTTTCCTTGTCGAAATCTTTTCAGTTAAGTTGGCATTTTTTTCTGGCTGCCCCCCCCCCCCTTTTCAAAAATAATACTACTTGTCTGTATTACTGAGTTCGTCATCGGAGTATAATAACACTATCATTTTTTCCTAGAAATTTTGATGTTTTCATTCAGTTGACTCTAATTTCATTTTTAAAGAAAAGAAACAATTAAAAATAAAAATAAATAAACAAAAAAAAAAACAACAAAACAAAACAAAACAAAACGAAAAAAAAAAAACAAACAAACAAACAAAAACAAAAAAAAACAAGATGTGTTTGTGAAAACACTGATGCCCCCGTATGGCAGCTTATGGCGAAGGTTTAAAGTTTCTCAAATGCAAGTCAAACTCCAAGATCAAGGTCAAGAGATCAAATATGTTGTTACCCAAAGAAAGGACCTGTGTCAATGGATATACCTGGTAAATATGAAAGCCCAAGCAATAACCATTCAAATGTTATGATCTAGGTTAATGTTTTGATTATTGTTTTCTAAAAATGGGTCAAACTCCAAGGTCAAGGGTCAAAATTAGTGGTATGCAGGTGAAGACATTGTCATAAGAAATACACATGCAAAATATAAATGCCCTAGCACCAACTGTTCAAAATTTAAGGCAAAGGTTAAAGTTTTTCAAAAGTAGGTCAAATTCCAAGGTCAATTGGTCAAAATTGTTGGTATCCCAAAGAGGGTCTTGTCACAAGGAATATACCTGTAAAATTTGAAAGTCCTAGTACTAACTGTTCAAAAGTTATGGCCAAGGTCAACGTTTTTTAAAAGTGGGTCAAACTCTAAGGTCAAAAATAAGTACATGGAAGGGTCTTGTCACATTGAAAACACATGTGAAATATGAGAGTCCTAGCACCAACTGTTCAAAAGTTATGGCCAAGGTTAAAGTTGGATAAATTTTTGCAAAAGTGGGTCAAACTCCAAGATCAAGAGGTCAAATATGTTGGTACCCAAAGGAAGGTCTTGTCACAAGGAATAAACATGTCAAATATGAAAGCCATAGCTGCAACCAAACATAAGTTATGGGCAATGTTAAAGTTTTGCGGACAAACAGACAGACGGACGGACAGGGCAAAAACTATATACCCCCGAATCTTTGATTACGGGGGCATAAAAAAGAAACCGGATGTAGTATATCTACCTCCATAAAACGAAGTCAAATATATTTAGTGAGAAGTTATATATAAGTGAAGATACGATAGAAAAAATTCAGAAATCACATCAATGAAAAACAGCAATATAAATTATTACAATTCTATCGATATTTTAACTTTCACTAGAGTGATGGTGACGCACGCACGTTAACGGTTACAGAGAACATGCTATTTAGGAACTTATCGGATATATATAACGAATCGAAATCGTTTGTCTCTAGTACTTCGCTATAAGCATGTTTTACTGTATTTCAGACAAGTATTAGCTTCAAAATGTCATTATCGCGCCGGGTAGTGGTTAGTAGTTGCATACAGCGTTTTTTACGATAGGGTAGACATTCTTCATGTCGTTGTATGTCAGCAATTACACTTGAAAATTCAAACTATCACTTAAAATCCTAGTCCTTAAACACAGCCGTAGACGCAGGGAGGGAGTGGATGCATTCCTTCCAAATTAATTGAACTTCGGTAGTTCGAACATCCATATCTCGAATACCATGGATTAGTCGAAGTGATTTGGAAGTTCCATGCAGGCACTTATTCCTTTGAGTATTTGACCATTTATATCCCGCATCCTGGGATATCTCGAAGTTTTTTCTCGATCCCATCGAGTTCGAGATAAGGAGGTTTTTGACTAATTATTATGATAAGGGCCTGAGAAAATAAATAATATCCTGAAAATGTGTGAAAAGCGCGTTCTTTCTCAAGTAAGTAACAGGTCTTAAATAGTACTTGCATAAGACCCCCCCCCCCTTCTCCTTCTCACCCCAACAACACACAAATTTGGATTTCTGAAAGAAAAGAGAACTAGTTTTTAGCTCACCCGAGCCGAAAGCTCAAGTGAGCTTTGTCCGTTGTCTGTCGTCGTCGTTGTAAACTTATCACATTTTCATCTTCTTCTCAAGAACCACTGGGCCAATTTCAACCAAACTTGCCACAAAGTATCCTTTTGGGTAAAGGGGATTCAACTTTGTTCAAATGAAGGGCCACGCCTTCTTCCAAGGGGAGTTAACTGAGAATTCGTGAAAATTTATGGCATCTTTTAAAAATCTTCTTCTCAAGAACCACTTGGCTAGAAAATATGAAACTTATGTGGAAGCATCCTCAGATAGTGTAGATTCAAGTTGTTTTTTTTTTCTATTCATGACCCCCGGGGGTAGGATGGGGCTACAGTGGGCGATCAAAGTTTTACCTAGGAATACATAGGGAACATCTTAAATAATCTTTTTTTTCAAGAACAGCAAAGCCTTGATTGATCATATTTATATGAAAGTGTAGTGTAGATACAAATTTGTTCAAATCATGACCCCCGCGGGGGGTAGGGTGGGGCCACAGTGGGAGATCAAAGTTTTACAGGAATAAGTATTAGGGAAAATTTCAAAAATCTTCTTTTCAAGAACAGCAAAGCCATGATTGATCATATTTATATGGAAGCATACTCAGGTAGTGTAGATTCAAGTTTGTTCAAATCATGACCCCTAGGGTAGGGTGGGGCAACAATGGATGATCAAATTTTTGCATAGGAATACATTGGAAAATCTTTAAAATTCTTATTCTCAAGAACAGCAAAACTGTGATTCGTCATAATAAAATAAAAGCATCCTCTGTAGGTAATGTAGATTCAAATTTGATCAAATCATGACCCCCAGGAGTATACAGGGTCCATAACAGGGGATCATAGTTATACAAAGGAATATAAAGGATAAACCAATAAAAATTTCTTCTTAAGAACAGCAAAAATATCAATAGTCATGTTTGTTCAAATTACAACCCACCCCCACCCCCCACCCCGGAACCACTTTAAATATCTAAACTTTTCAATACTGAACTGATTTCTGCATTTTCCTAGCCAAAGTGCTCAGGTGAGCGATGTGGCCCATGGGCCTCTTGATTTTTATCGTGATTTTTAAACCTCACCACCTATAAAATGTTTTTTCTTTTAATTTGCCAGGTGTTTCAAACTTTTGAACATTGTAAGTGTTGATATATTTACCTTTATCAGCTATTAGATCTATCTATGCTACCTGGTTATAAGAAATTAGATAAAAATACATTTTCTTTAATGTTTCGGGGAAAAAACGCATTTTGTCCGAGATCACAGTCGCTAAACGTTTTGTTATGCCTTCTACTTTTTTTGACACATGCTAGCTTCCATGACGAAAATTTCGTTCACTCGCGCACTGCGGTTTAAACTCCGCCAATTCCGTAAAGTTCTGTCGAACTCCAACGAATGCAACCAAGAAATAGCTGATCCCGACCATTGTGACGTAATCGGTCCAATTTCTCATCGACAGGTTTGGGTCGCTCATTGGAAATGTTGGATTCTTTTAGCATAGATTCATATACGAAACAATTTTTAAAGGTATAACAGTAGAGTTTTATTCCTCCTCAAAAACTTGT